GAAAATTATTGCTCGCTTCGCGACTAAAATACACGTATAACTCTTGTGAAAGCTATTTTCATCTACACGGCGCAATACGAATGTCTCGTTAATCAAAATTCTGCGCGCCGAAATACCAGCTAATACTGACGATAAAAAAATTTCAGGAAAATACCATTATTGGGATTTACAAAAAAAAAGGGGTACTGACATATTGATAATGAAATTCTTTCGAGAATATTTGTCATCAAAAGGCGATGTAGAGGACGTATGGTACTCGATTATCTTTCACGATCGATGCGTTCGCAAGAATTTTTGAACAATACGATTCGATTCAAACAAATACTCTAATCGATACACTCCCCTTCGTGATTATCTTCCCCGCATCTCCGGTAATAGCGATTCGTCTTCTATGAGCTCCGATAGCAAACGATGACTGATAACGGTTATCACGCAAACACGCGCGCGAGGTAATAACTTGGATCGCCGACGAAAACCGCGGAGATCATTTGCGGTGATGTTTATGCAACTCAAACAGCATTCACTGACGTACGTTCCTTGTTTCGAAATCCGTATAATCACGGATTTTTACGGCAAAATTACGATCTGTCTTCCATATATTCGCGTCTGAATTTCGGCAAAGTTATTCACGGAGTAGCTTCGCGTGACACAATTAAAGGATATCTCGACATTTCATCTCCTGTTCTATCAAATTTTTAAGAGACAAAAAATTACTAGCGATAATCGCGTCTGCTGAGAAAGAGATGAATAGCCACTCTAACTTGAAGTATCAATATCGAACTTGGATTAACCATCGCAAAGAGATAAAAACATCATGTTACCTAAAATCGAATAGAAAGGAACCGAGAGGTCTATCGCGGAGGACAAAAGTTAAATTGCAACACGATGCTTAAAATGTATCTCTATTTCGTCTTATGTGAAAAAAAAAAGTAAATTCTCGCTAGATTCTGATAGGCGAGATACCTAATAGTTGTATAAGAAAACAATGCTGAAACGCGAATTAACAGTGCATACTACCGTTTTATGCAATGGAAAAGACAAGTCCGTCGATCGTAGAAAACGCGATAGCGAATTGCCTGAAGATTCTCGAGATTGTTATTGACGGAGCGATTGATATCTTGAAAGTACAAGTGTTCTCGACGGCGGAAGAATAATCGCGATGAAAAAAAAAAAATGGAGAATGCTCGATTCAGATTAGCGAAAGAGCTCTCTTTAAAGAAATGTCATACGTTCGGATATAGGACGCTTGTCTCACTGAATCAGAAAATAAACATGAACTGTTCTTAATTTGGAAGAGGCGTTAAATTTGGATATCACAAATCCGTTCGCTACAAATAAAATTTTACATAATACTGCCAAGAAGCCTGAAAGTTTTTACAAATTATATATATATATATACATTCATAATCTTATTCAAAATAAATAATCTCAAATTATCTGTATCACAGAATATAATGTAATACGTGTGTGGACCAACTGAAATTTGAATATTAGAAGACGTGCTCAGAATTCCATTTAAAAGGATTATCACGAATTTGTGTAATTAGGACAAGGTCTCAATTAGGGTACGCAATTAGGACGAGATTCTCGTGATGCCGAATTGAAGAACCGAGAATAACGTGGATCTCTAGGCTAGAAAACGAAAAAGAAGAAAGAGTGCGAAAGAGAGATTTGAGAAGCCTGTTAATGAAGCAAATAATTTGTATCCATTTATCGCGGCCAAATTACACTGCTCGAATAATAATTGCAGAAGTAGCTAGCAACGCTATTTCGTAGAACTGTTATATCAATGCAATCTTGTCTCAAGTACCTTAGCTCTGTTATGCTTTAGTGCTTCAATTATTTCTTCGGCATGTACGCGCACGTATGTAATACATACGTGTATGTGTAATACATACCTGTACGTGTATTACATACGTATATGCATACGTGCGCGCGCAATTGCATACCGTGTCGGCCAAGATCTCGTTATCCCAAAATCTCGTCACGAAGCCGCGCCAAGTACTTTGCTTATTTTGCTGCGAGTCGCATCTACCGCCGTTTCCTCCCGCAATTCCAATTCCTCCGTAACATCGCGACGTGTGCATTCGCATATATAAAGGTAGAAAGAGAAATACACCGTGTGTGATATAAGCAGGGGAGAATGATGACGAGTCCTCACCCCTTCCCTCTCTTTGATCTATCGTCACTCGCGAAATTACAATCGTATGTGCAATGAATGCGCCGTCTATCTTTCGGTATACCGTATCGCTATTAACTGGAGATTGCAAAGATTCACAATAGTATCATATCGCGTTCGATCAGCTGATCGCTCTCATGACCTATAATAATTTCCCGGCAAAATTCCGATCTCGTTTAACGCGCGGAAGGACGAGTCGGCAACATTGATACTCGTCGTTTAAATGCAATGCAGGTCCTCAAAGTCGTACTCAGGTGGTCGGATAATTTACGTTATCCAACGTGAGATTCATATTATTATATACTGATTTTTTTTCTCTTTCTTTCAGTACAACGCAAAAATTTGATACGATGCGTGAACCGCACACACCGTCTGAACCTGTTCGTTCGTTGGCTAAATGGATAGCTTTGAAAACTTGCGTCGCAACACGCATGTATAGACGCACGATATTGTAAAGTTCGTATTCGGCTCATCGCGAATGCTAAAAGGATATAAAAGTTTCGTAACGTCAACTTACGTGCCGCATTTCCTCCGCATTGTCCGCGCGCGTGTTAGCCCATCGCCGGCTGAATCGATACCCGGCCAGCCACGTCGCGCTTCTGGCGTGTGCCCAATCCAATTCTGTACGACCGTTTTACTCATTAACGAAACGAAATTCGTCTACCGACGATGTTGACGTCAACGCGCGAAGGTGTTTTACGATAGTCTCGAAAGCCTCGATCGTTCTCGATGACATGATCCTCCCGAAAGAGAAAGGGAGAGAGAGCGAGAGAGAGAGAGAGAGACAGATGATCGCTGGCGCGTGATTAACGCGATCTCCGATCGTGTAATCGCGGTCACCGTTTACCATTAGCCTCCGATTACATCAATGTGCTTCGTTATCGCGACACGTATTAATTCGCTATTCGGTATTTCGGATAAATACATTTTACCATGTGTCTCCTGCTCCCTTCCGTCTCCATTCTATCATGTTCTTGCCGTTGAGATCGTTAGTCAGGGTTATGTTTGTTTTCCTTTCGTTTTACGCGGCATGGTTGTGTTTGACGAAGTCTTTCAGAATTCAAAGATACAAAGATACCTACGTGTTACGACAACGTCGACGTAGTGTGCTGTCGTAACACTTGCGCACACGTTGAAGCTCGGTGTTTTACGAGGAAACTATTAGCAATCTAAACTGTTCGCAGTTTAATAGCCTCATTCCTTCTAATATTGGTGTTGTAATAAAGATATCCTTATGCTCACGGTGAAACTGGAATACGGTACATACCATCGTCCCCGCGAGC